AGCAACAAGCGTTCATCCCCCTGAGTGTTACATATCAGAGCAATGACACCGACTCGAACTACTGAAGGTATACAACCTTCACTCTCGATTACCTGCACGTTACCAACATAATGGAAACATTCAAACATAAGGGGTGAGATATCTAACAATATAATAAAGCGCATGATAATTAATATATTAAATTAGATCACATAACATCACCACTTCTCATCTCAAAGTCAACAATAATAATACACATTCACTACATCAATACACACTTCTTTATGCAGTCATATAATGCGACTCAATACTATGCAAATGCACGTGGTACCATTTGGAGCAGAAATCCCATCTAATTTTTTTTCAATTAATAGAGGCATCAACAAGGCATAAGCCTTCATCTCAATATTCGTCAATACATGCCATCTCAACGAGCATAAGCTCCATCTCAAAATGCAATGTATGCGACACAATCATGAATGTAATAACAACACCACAATTAACAACATCTCAATACAACATCATCGTTGGACAAAGGCCTACATCTCAAAAGCATCCCAACATCTCTTCATCAAACATCTCATATCATTCATAATAATTCTTCAAACATCATTTATTCATCAAACATCATTTATTCATCAAACATCATTTATTCATCAAACATTATTTATTCATCATAAATTATCAACATAACATTATTAATAACATCTCATCAACAAATCAGTTGTACGTTAATACGACGGTAATTCACACCGCAATTCTGTAATCTTACATCATTACTATCATTACTCCTACTGTTACAAATCAAACAGCAACCTATAAACATTTCATCCTCATCATTCTGCATAAGAACCAACATAACGATCAACACGGGAACTAACTCTAAATCCTAAATTGGCTACTAGGATTACACTTCCTATACTTCATTTTAATCCTCTAGAATAAAACTCATCGCATTAGCTATTCAGCGCTTCAAACGAAATCTCAAACAACATCCTAAAACTCAAGTTACAGCATTTACAAACTGAATCTGCCAAAAATCAGACAACATGGGACGACGCATAACTCCTTGGATCGACGCTTACTGCACTGAATCTGCTAAAAATTAGACAGCATTGGTCGATGCATAACTCCTTGGATCGACGCATACTGCACTGAATTCGAAACATGAGTCGACGCATTCCCTCATGTATCGACTCATACTGAGTCTTTTACACAACATGTATCGACACATGCTCCTTTGGATCGACTCATCCTGGGTCTAAAAGTTCTCATGGATCGACGCAACCTCTTCGTGTCGACTCATCTTGAGTCTCTTAACCTCCTTGTATCGACACATAGCATTTGAGGTCGACATATCCTGTTATATCCTGCATAATTTCTGCGATTTCTCTGTGTTTTCACTACGGGTTTCATATTTTAAGCCCTAAAAACTTAATCTAACCATGGACAATCATCACTTATAATTATCCTATAATTCTACATTAGTTAAACGACATCGGGACATCATTATTCATCTATAATTCATCAATTTCACGTCACATAACATCATAAACATTCTATTCATGAACAAGACAACAATTACCTCTAACCCCACATACCAATCATCATGAACCCAATTATAGAGTCAGAACCCCACCCTTACCTTGGATTGAAGGTCACTCTATAATCTTCCGGTTGAAACCTCGTTCTGCCGTTTTTCCTCTTTTTCCAACAACTTCACGTTCTTCTTCTCAATCCATATTCTTCTACTGCCTCTTCTTTCTATTCTTTCTAACAACAATAGAATAACCTATTATTCTTTATTCCTTATTAGGCTCAAAACTAATACACCCCCTTATTACTACTTCCATTCCTTAAAACAAGCCCACATCAAATAATATTATACTTCTAATATTATTTCTCCACTTAATAAAATAATTAAGTCTAATTAAACGTAACACAACTTCCAAATATTCCAAAAATAATTGAATTAAATAATTAATTAAATTACGGGCGTTACACAATGCACAACAATACGTGAAAAAATATATATGCACAAATATCATATATAAGTTAATGCATTAATTACAAAACTCAAAAACAAAAGAATTATCACAATTCGAAGACAATAGAACCAATCCCCGACAACGACGCCATTTTGTTGGAGGCGGTGTAGCGGCAAGCAACAAAAGTTTTGGAAATATTTATCCGAAAATTTATCGTGTCCACAGAGATTGATTATTGAATTACCGTTTGAAAAATCTCTCGTTAATGAGTTTGAGGATAAATAGGTTTGTTTGTAAGGAAAGGGTAAAAACTATTGACAAGAAAATAAATACATTAAATAGAAAGGAGAAACCTAACAGACAGGAATTTACACTACTCGTCAAAAAATTAAACCTATTGATCAGTTGCACTCAATCTACTGTACTCGTTAAAATCATCACAGACACCACGAGATGTACCCATAACGAAGGTTATGTCTAACGCCAAGTCGTGAGACCAACCGTATTACTCTATCGATAATGTCTTGTGCGCTACAACAACACGGGGGCATTAGGCTTTATCATCCAAAGTGACTATTAGCTCCAAATCTATCTCTAGAATCTAGAAACTAATAGATATCCATTCTTAATCAAGATTTGTGAGGTATATGTCTCTAACAACCCAAATCCAAATATAAAGCAAAAAGATCAAAGAAGACATCAAGATTGATTCGTGAAGCAAGCTTTATGCAACACCATGATCAACAAATATACATATGTTCAAAATAAATATACAAACATACCCAATAAATAGAGAAATACATAGAGAAGAAATGGAGAAAAACCAAACATCTCTTGGATTGTCAGCGCTGGTTGATGAGAAATCCGACTCCGGATCATCAAATTGCAAGCTCCAATGTTATTGTATAACTTCTCAAGGCCAAAAATGGAGGTTTGATGAATTGGGACCAAAAATACCCAAAACATAACCTAAAAAAAATGTGTTTTTGGCCCTAAATACGTATTTCTGACTGTCCAGTGTCGCCCGACGACCAAAAAGCATCGCCCGACGAAAGATGCCAGCAAGATGAAAAACCATCAGAGCATTCTGCACTATTTCAGCCATAACTTTTGAACCGTAACTCCGATTTGCGCCCAGTTCGAAGCGTTAGAAAAATTATTCAATGCTCATTCTAACAATGACAAAATATCAATCAAATTGATGATTTATTATTCTTTGATTTTGAGCCTTATTCATTGACGAGTTTCTCAAAATTCCACGTTTGAAGCCGTGTTTTCGATACTTTATTGGTCATGCTCCAAATACGCATCAATACCTATAAAATAAATAGAAAAACATCAAACGGTACACTATGTACACAAAAACACAATTAAACATAAACTAAATGAATTTACACAAAAGTCGGGATTATTCAACAATATTAACAAACAAAAAGTCGAGAAGTGCAACAAAAAGTATATACAAAAATAACTACAATTTGCACTTATCACCTATCGGGCATATCTCCTCCACGTGCCCGACAAATACATTTCCTCCATGTGCCCGCCAAGGGTACATGGCCAACGTTCTTCCGAATATCACGGAATCATCCTGCTCCCAAAAATAACGGGTTTTCACCCTCCAAGAATTACGGGGCAGTTGAACTAGGATAGAGACTATAAACGGATCTCCTTTACCCACGTAGGATCCTGGAAGTCTCCATTTTGGGTCTAGACATCAGGCCCAAAATGGGAACCTTGACCAACACTAGAGGCTATAAATATTCCCTTTTGCTAGAGGGCCGTGTACAATATTCTACTCACTCTCTATACTTGCATTTTACTCTAAACCTTACTTTAACATCGAAATGTCTTACAGGTACCCTCATTCACTTCAACAACCGTAAAAATCCAAGTGCTGCAGGCCACCGAAGATCCATTTTATTGGAATAAAAGCATTAATTCTCATTAAAACAAAACATTTAAATTCTATACAATTTTGATCCATCCACCCATAATATTATATTAAATCCTATCAACTATCTCATGATCTATATATCTAATAGTAAAAATATTGGCATTGCCACTGCGCCATACACTATGCCAAACAAGGGATTAGACAGCACTTTTTTAGGCCTTTAACAGCGCTTAAAAGCGCTGCTAAAACCTCCGCTGCTAAAGGTATAGACAATGCTTTTTTTTCAATCACGATAGACAGCGCTTGGTAAAAGCGTTGTCTATTACCCCCCTTTAGCAGCGCTTTTCCTCATTTAAAATTTTTTTTTTCAATCACTTTAGACAGCACTTTTCATGAAAAGTGTTGTCTATTACCCCCCCTTTAGCAGCGCTTTTCCTCATTTTTAAAATAAAAAAAATTTTCAATCACTTTAGACAGCGCTTTCATGAAAAGCGCTGTCTATTACCCCCCTTTAGCAGCGCTTTTCCTCATTTTTTTTAATTTTTTTTCCAATCACTTTAGACAGCGCTTTCATGAAAAGCGCTGTCTATTACCCCCCCTTTAGACAGCGCTTTTGTATGTGATTAAAATAATATAAAAAATTAAATTAACAAAAGGAAGTGACAAATAAATCTTAAATTAAATAATACATTGAATCATCATGGAATTAGAAGATTCCTTAAAGAACTAATAATACATTGCTTATTATCAAGAGCAGTACATCTACAACAATGGCCAAGTATTATCAAAACAATTCTGTGCAGTAGTATTTTTGTGAGTGTTGACCTCACTTTTAGTGCTGGATTGGGGGGCTTCTCCTTTTGGTTTACTGAGCTGCCGCAAAGAATTCTTTACAGCTTCAATATCACCAGTAATTTGACCAAATAGAAAGCCAACTTCAAGGCTCAGAATTAATATTTTATTTTTGAAAGGGCAAAAAAGAATCTATAATTAACTAAGGCATCATGAATGCTTAAAAAGAATACAAACCAGAACAATATTGTTCCACCTGATAGAAAATGGAAAAAATGAAACAATAGTCTATTCAAACTGATGACAATAATTAATACAGATACAAAAACCACCTATACCAGCAGTTAGCAACCAAACACTGCAAATGTCACCTTAACCACGTACCCGCAGCTAGACAGAAAAGCATATCATCAAAAACAAAAACACATAACAGCACTCTGAATACTTTCACAATGCTGCCGAAGAGATGCCCAACGCCAAATTTACCCCGATCGATACCCCCGAAACAGAATTGCAAGCAGCCGAAGCTCAAGAACTGGATTACAGTGTAGATCCTGCAACAGACCACCGATCACCAAGCTAACTCTGCGAAGCCTACTGATACGACACTCCGGATCCAAGCATTGCAGACGAACACAATAACATTTCCACAAATGAAGAGTACCCATATCAGGCTTGTATCTACCTCAGTACAACAATCAGATGATCAAATTGGCATTCATATATATCACCTTAACCACCACTTTTTCATATTAATTTCCTCGTTGGAAAGATTTTTTAAGGAATGGCCTAAAGCATTTGAAAGGATTAACAAATGAGGCATTTTTTAAATCATCCTACTAATTTTGAAGTGATTATTGAAAATAAAAATAGAAAACAAACATTTGAATGGTAGAATAATATAAGATATAAAAAAGTGAAGTATATTAAAATATTTATATAATAATCTAATCACATAATTGTTAACAATCAAAACATCACTCCAATTCATCACTCTACAACTCAGAATCAACTCATGTATTCAACTACTAATTTTTCCAAGCATACAAAATAAGAGAAAATCCAAGACCCTACAACTCAGAATCTCTAAACTGCTGAGAATAAGCCCAAGTCATCATAACAGAAGCATAGATAAATTTAATTTAAATAACCTCTCATATATTGTCTCGTACATACATACCGATTATTTTATTTCTTAACTGTTCTGGTTGTTGTCAATCTTTCAACCCAAAACAATAAAGAGATGAAGATATCGACATTGGTCTGATCAGTGGCTGCCTGTGGAATTTCAAAAACAATGAAGTTGCAACAAACATGCATACATATTTGAAATGACGATAACGTAAACGTTTATATTTGAGCCTTAAACTCTCACACTGCTTAGATTTCTTCATGATATGCAGCTGCCACAGGTATAGTTTTGTTCATTCATTCATTCAGATTCAACACCATTACTTGAAATATCGCAACGTGGTATTTTCTTGATATATGCAGCTCTAAGGGGGAGAAGAAAGAAGATAAGCTTCGAACAATTGTTTATTAATATTAAAAATCCCTATTCACTACAAAAGACATACCTTATTTTTTGTGTATGATGCTCTGCACCTCTCTTTTGCCCTGCAAATTCCACGTTTGATCCCATGGTTGTCCATGTAACCAGTTGGCCATAATTCTGCAAGCTGATAAAGACAGAATTCAAAAAGGTTAAAAAGAATAAATATATCTGTTTATGGAATGCAAACAGATTAACTTAGAGATATCATAAACTACACTTTCAGTACACAAGCATACTATCAAGTAGTAAGTAGCATGAATGCTCCTTGAATAAGAGAGATGTCTGTTTGACACTTGGTGAGAAATTCCGGAAGTAAGTACTTCTTACGCCAATAAATAAATTCTTAAAATTAATTAGGAGCCATTTTTGAGTAGGCGTTAAGAAAACAAATCGAACTTAGCGAAAGCAGGTGAAGAATTCAAACAACCATGCTGTTTAAGTTTTTGTCCTCAGCCAACAAGGCAACCCAGTAGAACTGCTAGACCAAATTTCAAATACGTTTTAAAAACTAGACCTACCTCGGCATATAACTTTCTGATCTGTGGACCTGCATTTTCATCCAAGCCCTACAGCCATTGCAAGCATGGTTCTATTAAGTTTTATCACAAAACAGAAATTTCACAATAAGTATCTGTAACTCAACGTACATCAACAAAAATATCATAGAGATCACAAATCTTGTCCTCCAAAGCGGCGTCCATATTGACACTCCTTTTAGTTATTGTTTTTACATCAGGACCAAATTCTTGAACATCACCTGATGCTCCAACTTTCTGCTGTTGCTAAAGAAAAACACCATACATCCCAGGTTTAAAAACTAAAACATTCATTAAGCAAAATCTTTTCTGAAAAACGGTTATCAAATAATGGAAACATTAAAAGATAAAGAAAGGAAATGTGATTGGGTATCAAATTACAAGAATCAATGGAAATAATTCATTACTCAGGTACTATGGAAACTCGAGTTGACAAGATTTAGAATCACTTATATCACAATGACATTTATTTCTTTAGGTTTAATATGGAAAGAAGGAAGAGAATACTATTCACTTAACTATTGAACCCTAAATTTTTAAATCAAACCCCAAAGCTCACAGAATCCAGAAAATCTCAACACATAAATCACCTACATTCAACTAAACACTCTAGTCACGATGCACACCAAAAAATGAATCCAGAAGCACAGGCTTTAATGATAGAAACACTTACTTGGATTGAAAAAATGAATTAGCCGTGGGCCGAAGATTCGAAGGTGATGCAACGGAGGAGGCTGCTGGTGTTGGTGATTATGCCGTTGATGCGAGGCAGAGGGTAATGGTTAGAGGACGACGAAGGGATGAAGGATGGAGACGGTTGACAATTAATGGTGGTGGTTGGTAACGATGAAGATGAAGCGGTTGAGAGGAGGGTTTGAGAGATGACGGAACAAATGGAGTAATGGAGTGAGACAGGGGGAGTTTGGGAGGAGACGAATGGAGAAGAAGATGAACAACGATATGGGTTTAATTTTGTGTTTCTGGAAATCTGATTTAGGGGTTAGGGGTTTTAGAAATAAATTAACAAACCAAAGGCAGCGCTTTCAAGAAGCGCTGCTAAAGGTACCCCCCTTTAGCAGCGCTTTAGGCTTACCCTCCCTTTAGCAGCGCTTTTAGATTTACACAAAGGCAGCGCTTTCAAGAAGCGCTGCTAAAGGTACCCCCCTTTAGCAACGCTTTAGGTTTACCCCCCCTTTAGCAGCGCTTTTAGACTTACACCTTTAGCAGCGCTTTTTGAAAGCGCTGTCTAAAGCATACCCTTTAGCAGCGCTTTTATTAATTTTTTAATTATTATTTTTTTTAAAACCCTATAGCAGCGCTTAGGGAGAAAAAGCGCTTCCTTTGATAAGGCCTATAGCAGCGCTTTTAATAAGCGCTGTCTAAAGTTTTTTTTTTTGGATACCTACAGCAGCGCTTTTGCATAAGCGCTGTCTATGTAGCGGTGCCAAAACTCGTTTTTGGCGTAGTGATATCTCATATACAGTTTCAGCAAAAGCAATCTTGATCTCTTGATTCTGCCACCCTTTTCTATTTGCAATCTTTCTCATCCATTCCAATTCTCTTTGCAAATTTCCAGGCCTTCTATCAATATGAAACCAATTGAGGACATCATGCCATACAAAACTAACACCTTTACACACAAATAACATGTGGTCTGATGTTTCTTGTTCATCACAAAACCGCAGTTCGCCTCATTTATAAGACCGAATCTCATCAACCTGTCTTTTGTAGGCAGTCTACCATTCAAACTCATCCACAACGTGAAAACTGCCCGCAATCTCACATAATTATTATACATAATTTTCCACCAATTAACATAGTTTTCCAATCTCACATATTAAGGCCCCCAACATTTTTGGGATCACATATTCTCTCCCAAGCAATTGACGCCTTCCTCGTTATTGAGTCTTAACCACTCCAGAAAAAGCTCAAGTAAACAGCTTCAATTTCATGCACCACTTTTAACGCTAACGGAAACACCTGTATTCAGAAATTCGCCAGAACAAATATAACACTTCTAATCAATTGCATTCTTCGTAATTTTTATAATTATTTATAGTTATTTCTATTTTGTTTAAAAGATATATATATATATATATATATATATATATATATATATATATATATATATATATATATATATATATATATATATATATATATATATATATATATATATATATATATATATATATATATATATATATATATATATATATATATATATATAATAACTTCTTTTATGAATAATTAAAAAAAGTTAAAGTACGAAAAAATTAAATTGATATTAATATATTATAAGTATTTTTATATTTAAGTGTATAGAAGAGGAAAATTTTGTTTTAATCCCGTGTATTATTTTAAGATTTATTTATTTATTTTATTTTTAGTTAATAAATTTTTATAAAATTGATTTGTAAAGTGAGAGATGTCTCTCTATATAAATTTTTTATATGTTTTAGTTCTAATCAATCTGAGACTTGTAATTTTTATAATACATCCTTATGTCCAACAATTTTTTGGACTTGGTGCATATTTATATATAGTGGCTGACCTATGGTCTCATAGATAGACTCTGATATCATATCTATAATATAAGAACACGCTAACCTCTAGTGAATCTTATTTTGCCCCTTTCTTAAATCTTAACATTGCATGAATTAAGGGCTAAATCTTGTCTAAAATATATGTTTGCTAACTAAATGGCTATTTGAACCAATTGTTATATTTTTTTGTACGATTAGTTTTGCTTTGTAGCTCAATAAATGGATAAATAACATGTCATATCATCCAAATGCAACCAAAACATTACTTTTTTTGTTTCGTATTTCTCCTTTTTTAGTATATTGTCGTTTCCAATGCTGTATTTGAGAAACACAAAATATCACTACTGCCATCAATCCCCACCGTCTCCCTGCTTTGTTTTTTCCTCAAACCCACACCTTCTCCCTTGAATCCTCCAGACCCAACCTTGTATCACATTTCCGTTTCAATACAACCTAGGGAACCCTTCTATATTGAACTCATGCCTTCTCTCTCAGGTTACGTATATTTTGATCTTCATGACTAGACCTTTTGAAAAAGTTACCGACATCAACGACAAGAAGGAGCTTTGGAAAGATGCATTCAAAGTTCACCACAGATGGAGTGTCATAACCATTACTAAGGAACATTTTGAGTTGGTTTTATTTGACAAGGAGGTGAGTTTCATCGTGAAACCCTTTTTATTTTAGTTTCCATCATCTTCTTCAAACGCAAACCATGTTGTTGATGGTTTTCTCTTGATACAATCCTCAAAGACTGTAAAACCAAGTAGTATTTTTTGCTTTTAACTAGTATGTGTTTGTCTGATAATGTCTTTTCTAATATATTATTATGAAGATGATTCTTTTATTACATAAACCCTTTTGGATATGATTGTGTTGTTGTTTCAAAGTGGTATACATGCCTTAAAGTTATAACCATTTCTTGTTTCAATGGATTTATTTTTGTGAACAACAGTTTTTTATTAATAATAATATATCTCAGTATCAATATATTTCTTTAGTATAGATGTTTCTGCAATATACCTTGAGATTTTGCTTTGACTTAATGATTTTTCATTACATGGAATGATATCCAAGCTATTGTACCCCCAATGTATAGGCAGACTTTTGAAACTCTTTTAACTGTCAATGACACTTGGACTATTCATAACTTTCAGGTTCAACTAAATGATTTGGTTTTCAAACTCTTATCCCACAAGTTTCTCATAAAATTCACTGGAGGTACAACTGTTTGTGATAAAAACAAGCATCAAATACCAAACAAGGAGATCATGTTAATTCCTTTACTTGGTATAAAAACATGTCGGTGGAATAAGGGTTTTCTGATAGGTATCATTGTTCCTTTCTTGTGTCAAGAGTCATATTTATGTGTTGTCTTTATCCACTGAATATTTACTCCATTTGCACAGATGTCATAGGAATTGTAGAACAAATAGGGTACACACAAGGGCATCTGGGGTGGTAAAAAGTAGCAAGTGAACATTATCTTGCGAGATTTGGGGTATGTTTTACTCTTTTGAAGTTTACAATGACATAAATTTTAACTTTTCCCTGTTGTTTTTGCTTTTTATTAACTTTCCATTGACGTATTTTAGAAACAACGCCATCAATTGCACCCTCTAGGAGGCGTACGCAATGCAATTTCTCAACTTTATCCAACAACACAATGACTCATCCTTACCAGTTGTGATGCTTATTCAGTATGCTAAAGTTAAAGAAGCCGATGGTGGTTCTCCGACCCTTTTACATTGTTTTATGCATTATGTTTCGTCAACAATCCGTTTTCTTTGAAGTGATTATCATTTTTCATGTTTTAGGTAAATATCCTCTATCTGTTACCAACACATACAATGTTACCAAGATTTCCATCAATGAAGATTTGGGAACAATCAATGATTTCCTTAAAGGGTACCCCTACACTTTCCTATCTCTATCTTGATGGCGTTTCAACTACACTTGCATGCTTAAGTATTTATTGACGTAGTTTATTTATTTTTTAGTATCCCAAAGGATAGTATGGCTGCCCTCTTAGGCCAGCATAGCTCATATTCACAACTCTGGTCCCAAAACTATTCCAGTAGCCAGCAAACTCCTTACCAAAAATTGGTCTCAAAATCATTAGTTATTCTTCTCGATCTGATTGTTAAACTACCTACGGTATGCTTTATTTTGAAAACACATTATAATTCTTATTTAATTCATATATTGGAACATAATCAAACCATATTTGTTTTGCTCTATCATGTGTCTCCGCAGACTACATTTTGTGCAACTGTTGCAAAAACTGATAAATTTATTGCATCAAAATATGGCCGGTATTACTAGGCATGTCATGAATGCCCTAAGGTTATGAAGGCAAATTGTCCCATGTTTCTTTGTGCATCTGTCCATACCACTGAGACAACAATTTTTCGGTGAGAATCCATTAATTTGTATCCTATACCATACTCTGTACATAAGACTGGAGTTATACGGGATCTGAATATTGACATATTAATTTGCATTTGCATAGTTATAAAATTGAGGTTGAGGTTCTTCATGCTGGAACAGAATGTAAGTTAGTTTTTTGGGACAAGGAGAGCGAACAGGTCTTGAAGGTCTCTACTACCCACACACGAGACACCATGATTGAGGTACTATAGTATATTCAAGATATCCGCGGTATTTACCTTTGTATGTTATTATTTCTATGTTTAACGTATTTCATGATTCTATAGAGTGACATACATGATCCTCTTGAATTCCCTCTTGCACTTGATAACATGTTGGGTATAGAGTTTGCTTTCAAATTTAAGTGGCAGCCTGACTGGAAGAATTTTTCGGTTATCACTATGATTCGAGACAAGCCTGTTATAGATCAACTTAAAACAACATGGGAGTTTGAAAATGTTATTGTTTCCCAATCAAATATTACACCACCATTACAAGTATATTAGTCGTACTTCTGCAAAGTGCGGTATAACGAAAGATGTTGCATTTAATTGGTCAATGTTTTAAGTAATATTTCTATACACTTTTTGTAGATTAAGGAGAGTGTTGTTGAGGTAACTGTTGTTGACTTATGTGATGCACAAACGGTAAACTAAAGTGTCTCCTATTTTTAGAAATATATTCAATTTCTGTACAAAAACTTTGTTGCTCATTTTGTTTTGCCATTCGTGTTCAGCTGGATCTTGAAATAACTTTCAAACACATGCCTGGTCCAGCAACACCTACCAATAAGACAAACAATAGTGGTCCTTCAACTGACTCAACCATCGTAATCATCTTATGTGATGGCGAGGAGTCCTTAACTAAATTTAAGAAGGTCTCTAATGCCTCTAAAAAAACATTAAGGTGGATAAGAAACCCATGAAAGTTGATAATAAATTTATTAAAAAGGAGAAGATGTAGCAGTTTTGTTACCTGGGGTTGCACGTATTTTCAACACAAGTATTTATATTATCGTTTTCCTCAGGGGTTGGTGTGATATTGTTGTCGTTCTACAGTTATAATCGTTTTAAACTTAAGTTTCATAAAAGGGTTTGATGTTGGTTTTAGTAACGGAAAATGTCAGTTTCCCACAAAATATCAAGTTTAGGTAAAACAAAGTTTTGGTTTCGAATGTTTGGTAAAAGCGTGTCAAGATTAGGGCTCGATAATCTCTTTCGGACGTATTCTCTCAATCAAGTATGTGAACTCATTAATCATAAATATAATCACATATCCTCTCAAGATGTTTCATCTCTAAAACAAAATGTGAGTTTTTATCAAATTGATCTTTAGATGATCTCTCTACCTAACTATCAATTTGATAACTTTAAAAGCTCAATATTAGTGAATATCAACTCACAAAAATATGTCTAGAAACTATTCATTGATAAGTGAAAACCTAGGTTAGAGATGAACACACCTCTCAATAATGATCAACTCAAATATAAACCATAAAACAAGAATTTTCACCATATATTTATCATCAAGATGTTCACATACAAATGATTAAGCTAAATACATACAAAAAGGAAGATTATCTACCTCTAATCTTGACACCAAGAATTATTTAGTTACCTATCACCATGGTAGTTTGCTCAACAAGGAAAGTATGAAGCTTGATGAATATCAAC